TCTTTCGAAATTGGGATGTTGAATCTCCCCATCAACGTGTATGTTTCCTCGATCAAGATCAATTCTATGTCCAACATTATAAAATCATCTCGTATTTCGCTTAAACATTTCATCGCGATCCTCACATCTTCCAAATCTTTTATTACTCTAACTAGAACTTTATTTTTCTCGTTTATATATTCAGTGATCTTTTTCAATTTCTCTTTATAAGTTACAGATAACTTTTGACCCAATAATGTCTTCCATGCACGCGCTTCAACTAGAAATCCTAATTTCAATTTCTCTGCGAAGAGAAATAAAATAATTTATAGAAAAAAGTTTATCACATCAAACGATGATGAATTGAAGATCTTTCATATGAATGTCATAATGATGGAGGAAGAAGAAAATTAATTTATTACCCATGCTAATTTTTATAGGCCCAATTATATGCGAGTCTGGCAGATTTTCGATTTCGGCAACTAAATCTTCATATTCCACGAATTTTTCTTTGATTACTTGGGTGATAGGTTCAGAATCAACGAAATTTTGCACCAGCTGATCCCTATCTTCGCTCCATATGTACGAATACTTCAAATAATACTATTGAAAAATAGTAAAATTAATATTGATCGAAAGTATCTCAAATTTTTAACTAAAAATATTTGGAAAAATTGCAGATAATATTATAAAGATTTAATTTAGTAACATAATTAAAATATTTATAGTAGTATATATCCTAGTATATAAGTATTCTTTAAATATTATAATAATTAATTCTATAATATTACAAACTATTTTAAAAAACTATTCACAAAAATTTCTGAATTTGTTATTCGAGATTTGCTTATGGTATAGAAAAGAATGAAAGTAGAAATAGTACATTGCAAAGATCTTCAATATCTTCTTTTATAGTCATAATTGCACCTTGTAGGCTCATTACACATCGGACTATTTCTTTATGATCAGATATAAGTTGATAGTAATTCTTCATTCCATCTATACGTAAATAATATATTTATGTAAGAATATAATTGATACACGATTGTTTTATTATTTTTATATATCTTTTGCACGAAACAAACTTTCACTGGATTTTAACTCTCTATCGATATCACGCTGTCCCCATGCTGTAATATTTTTATGATTTTCAACAATGGCGACCACTAATTTTCCAAAATAAAATTGCAACTCTTCTATCGGAGGTATTATCATGATATTTGGTATTTGCAAGATGAATGTCGTTAAAAGTATTGGCGATTTCTTTTTATCGTCACTTAAATCGTTTCTCAAATGACTATAATTAAAAAAAAGGATAGAAATCATTTTTTCATCATTTATAAAATTATCAGTTATAAAATTATAAACGACATTGAATGAACCTCATTTCAGTGACTTTTTTTCTCAATATCTCCAAGGAATTTTTTGTACACTTCACCAAAGCTTCTATGAGTTTATTATGAAAATATGCAAACAATTCCATGCAATCATTGTGCACTTTGGTTATATTAACTTTACGAGTTCTTTCGATGGGAGCGAAACCTACGACAAATAGATATAAATCATTGTTGAAATATTAAAAATATTTTTTAATCTATCCACTTTTATGCATTAACTTAAAATTTTGCTTTTTTCACATCATATAGTATTTATGTATAAATTTAAGAAAAAAGTTTTTTTATATATTTTTCTAAAATTTTTATAAATCTTCAAAAGAGAGCAATGGGCTTAATAACCTGGCTCATATTTTCCTTTTGTCAATTTCGTTTGTGAAATATGTTTGTGTATTTTATCCGGATCAAGCCAATTATATTTAACATCTTGTACAGTCTCATCAATTACAAATTGTATAAATTTGTTTATAATTGTAATAACTGCATTTTCTGCTGCAGATGATTTAATTTCAAGATCAGCAGACACCAAAAGTCCATGAGCAATATTGTCATCTAAAAGCTGAACTGGATGCTTTGGATCGTCAACAAGTTGTATCAAGATTGCTTCTGATATACATTCGAAGACTTCGTCAACTCTTGCTTCCTTCATGTCTTTTATCTCTTTAACAAAAATCTGCACAGACATAATCGCCTTTTTTATGGTATCACATACTTCGTCAATATTCAAAGACGTCCATGTGATTACGGACAAACAAGGTTGAAAAGCAATCTCGAGATCGACCAAAATAATTTTCATTAAATTTAAGAACAATAACGGTATAGTTCGTCTGAAAAATGAAACAAAGATGATTCCTATATTTTTTGAAATCTGAATAACATATGATATTTTAAAAATATTTTTTATAACGTGAAGTAAGACGTTCAAAAGGCGTTTAGAAAGATTCTGTACTGTTTGTACTAGATGTTAAATCTCATATACCTCAATGTATCATTCTCTTTGACCAATTGTTTCACAGTTTCATACGACGAAAAAATTCTATCTTTACAAAATGTTATTATTTGTATAAAATCTGGTACTTCCAAATCAAATCTAGCCATATGTTCTGATTCACGTATCACTTCTATAATGTACGAATCAAAGTTTAAGTGATATTTATTCGTGTCCGGATGCCTTATTATCAAAGGAGAAGCCAATGCCAATCGGACCTATCAATTGATATATTTGATAATTTAGACAATAGTCAGTTTACGAATTTTTATATTTTCTAATAATTATACTTACAATCTCTGAGGAGTCAAACCATGCTTTGTGATATATCATTTCATAGTGTATGAAGACAGTGATCAAGGCATTGTAAATTTTAATACATCTTTGCATGTGATCGTGAACAATCACTCGTTTACATTCTTTGTATATCTCCATAGAAGTTTCAATGCGTCTAAAAAGTTGTCGGATCCACAAAATACGACCTGCAATAGGTGGAACGTTTCGTGGTATCGGAGTATTTGATCTATCTTCATTATATCTATCTCGTATATCTTCGATTTCTTTTTGAAACAATGATATAAGTTCTAAATATTTCCTGTCGATTCTCAATTCTTTAAACTTCAATTTCTGAAATCTGTGTGAAATCGTATGCTTTATATAAATGTAACATGGAAATGATACAGCGAATAGTACCTTGCCACTACTCTCAATGCTTCAGTTATATTCGGCGTTTCCGATACACAGTTATAAAAGAAGTTTCTTAATTCTACTATTGTCTCTGATACGTTTTTCTTATATTGATCGTAATCAGAATCGAAGTATGGTTTTCTATGGTTTAATGGATCATAATCTTTGGATGTAATATCGTAGAAAAAACTCGAGAACTTGTTTGCAAATACATCTATTTTCTCTATCGCGGAATTAAAAAGAAGTAAATACTTTAATGCTGTTTGTAAAACATCCATAATCTGAAAAATATATTTAATTTTTTTTTTTAATAATTGTTTTAGATTACGAGATCAATTTTATGGAATGTTTCATCTAACTAACTTTTATTATCCTATCTTTGAAGGTATTAAACTTTCCGAAAACGTACATTTCGGATACTTCGAAAGGTTTTTCATCAGCAGATTCTTTCACATCTTTGCACATTTCGTTGTAATAGTTGTAATATTGATCGCACAATGTAATACAATCCTATAAGAAAGTTAACTTTTTAACAAATCAAATTTAAAATTTTTTTTTTAAATAAATATTTACCTTTATTTTGAGTATCATATCATATTTCGAATCATTCCAAATATTTATTTTTCCGTCTTCTGTTAAATATGCTTTGCATGCTAAAATCATTTGATTTGTCATCTGAAATTTATCGTCAAATTGTTAAAATTTCATAAAATGTAAACATAATATAAAAAAAACTTATAATTTTCATTATGTCTTTGCGATAATACTTTAACAAAAACTGCAGTGACCATTCGTCTGGTATTAAAGAATCGAGAAGTAGCGTATATCATTCGTATAGCATACATAAGCGGAGGCAAATATTCTCCCATTTTTGTTGGATCGAGTCTGTACAAGGGTTGTGTAAATTTTTCTAGTGCATATAAATATTTTACATTATCTTCTGCAAGAATTTGTATTGTGTCAACATGATCTTCCAGTATCTTCCATTTCTATATGTGGACAATATGAAATTTTTATCAATTCTAAATCAATTTAAAAAAGATATTTTATAAATGTAAACATACTCTTATATGTTTCGATTTTATATTTGTTAAAAAATTTATAAATGTCTGACTGTATGGAGCTTTTATATGTTCAATGATTGATGAAAAACGAGCAAGCAATCTTCTCCAATAACTAAGCTCTGCATTTGGTCCCATTGCTTCTGTTTCCCTACGTAATTGTTGACTTTGAACAACAGCCTATAGTTTGTGCAAAAAAAAAATATTATAAATATTTCATTTATTTTTTTAAAATAAAGGGTAACATATATTATAAATTTTTCATTACCCGTTCCATACTTTTCATCCATAATTTAACATTCTTTTCTACAGCTATAATAGCTTCTGGATTAGTAAGACTACTTTTATATTTTTCTGGTGTTGATAAATATTTATTATAAATATTCCAATCCGTATAAAATTTTATTATGTTTTCTAAATCTATTTTAGTCGCTAGAAAAAAATATAAAAATAATAATTTCATTCCATAAATTTAAATATAATTTTATAAATTTTATAGCTTACTGCTTAAAAATTCCCAAAAATCTCTAAAATCACAAATAAAATTATTTATTACTTTTTCAGCATGTTCAGATTTTGATAATTCGCCCCACACTTTATTAACAATTATTGCTGGCAAATTTAGCCTTAAAATCAAATCTGATATAGCTGCTAGTGCACTTTGAGATACAGGATCAACTTCTGCATATGCATAATATGTGTCCTATTCAAAATTTTAATTTATAAACACATTATAATATATGAAATTATTATTAAGGGAACATACATCAAGAAGATGTTTAATTTCAAAATCAATGTCTGATCTTAATCTATAAACTATGACACATCTACCAGAAAATTGTTCTGTAGAACCATCAGTAACACAGCAACGTATTACTTGTTCTTCACGCCCATCATGTGGAATCCAACGTCCTGAGTCTAGTTTTTCATATTTTTTTTTTTATATTAATTATATTCAACAATTAAATTAACAAATATAATAAAAATGTAATTTTTTTATGATACCAAATGGAGGTGGTTCCATTGGTTGAAAATGTATAAGAATTGCATTCTTCCCATTTTTAAGAAAAAAATTGTCAAAAACATTGATATATTCATCTTTATCAATAATTCCTTCTTCTAAAATATCAGGATTTACATTTAAAATGAAAGCAGCAACTTCCAAAACATGTCTATGTGTTGGTTTAAGCAATGCTTGTCTTGCATTTCGTTTCTCTTTATATTTAGCCTATATAAATAATAAAATAATAAAATAAAAATAACAAAATTTAAATAAAATATATTACTAATAAATCTAAATAAAATAGTATTTATATTTTTATTTACATACAAGTAAATCTTGTAAACTTTCTAAAGGTTCTTCTATACCAACTCTTCTTTTTAATAATTCAGCAATGCGGCGATCAATTGCTGGTTTTGTATAATCTCGAGCTGCAAAATATGCATTATGTGGCATTTTTTTTTTTTTTTTATTTTAAAATATGACAGAAAATTACATTACATTCAATACGAAGTGAACATCAAAGAATGTATGAAAATTAAATGATAAAAAAAAAACGATTTTTATGGGGTGTGTTAAAAAATATTTATATATAATAAGAATTAAGCAAAAATAGTAAATTTAACATAAAAAATTTGAATTGATATTATGAATTAGATAGATGTATTTTTTATTATATTTTCATTTATTTGTATATTTTAATATTTTATAAACTTTTTACGCGTATAAATATACAATATAAATATATAATTTAAAATTTCGTTCCTTACATGACATTCAAAATGATACGCATGCGCATTATAATTGCTGTGCACATGCAACTGCAGTGCACGTCAAATTAGAAAGGTTAAAGCAGACAGCATAAATAAAACTTCAAACATATAAAATTAAGATTAAAACTGTCAATTGTAAATCATTCAAAGTGGCAATATATATTTTTAAAATGCATTTTTATACTTCAATTTATTTCATGGTCGACTGCCGATATTTAATAAGGTTAATAAGTATTTTATACACATTAAATAGCATATTATAATTTATATTCATTAAAATGAAAATAGAATAAAATATATTTTTCAAAGCGACTATTAATTCTGTTCACCCCACTACATTTTCCTTTTAAAAATATTTGATTCAATTGCTTTAAAAGTGAATATTATTAGCAAATTTATGTATACATATTTATTTTAATTTTTATTCTTATTTATATCATATTAATGATTATACTTATAATTTTAATAATTTTATAATTTTCAGATAAACTTGTGTGCATTTTTAAATACTATAAATACTTTTTTCTTATCATTGTGCTTGTTATTTCTTCTATCAATATATTTATTATACATATTGAATGAATTAACAGATCAAAAAGAAATTAAAGCATTCTTTATTTATATGAATTTATTAAACTTATACAAGAGTATGTGGAATGTATTGAATTATTATCAATCACAATGTTTAAATTGGAATCGTATATAACACCAGTGATTCTCAGTTATGTTGAAAAATATGTGAAAAATTTTAAACCAGAACAATCTCAGGTATATTAAATACATATAATTGATTTTGCCAAAAAAAAGTGTATATTTTTTTTTAATATATTATAATTAATATATTATTTCATTATATATTTTAGGTCTCTTTATGGGGTGGTGATGCATCATTTCAAAATCTTGACTTACGACTGGAGGTTTTAGAAGAACAACTAAATCTTCCTTTTGTTTTTGTTAGTGGTCATATACATGAATTACTTATTCATGTTCCTTGGGTAAAAATTAATTCAGAACCAATTGTGATTACTATTAATACGATAGGTAAATATTAAATAATATGATTTAGATTTATAAAGTTAAATAAATATTTGAAAATAAAAATTTAATTTCTATTTTAGAATGCATTTTAAAATTAAAAGATGATAATAAAATGGAAACTAATCCTTCTTCCTTGCAAAAAAAACAAGAGATACCACAGTAAATAAATTATTTTTATTAAAATATATATTATGCATTATTCTTATGCAAAAATATATATTATACATTATTTTTATATGTTGCTATATAATTTATAGGGAAGAAGCTCCTCCTGGTTATATAAAAGGCATAGTAACAAAAGTTGTAAATAATATAACAATTAATTGTAATAATTTAATTCTAAAGTATGTGGAAGAAGATATTGTTCTTAGTGTCAATGTCAGATTCTTAAGTATGCAAACTGTTAATAACAAATGGGAACCAGCATTTACTGGTATATATCTTATTTTAAAAATGATCTTTCTACCAATATTAAAATTATATTCATATATATAACAATATATTTTTCAGATGTTAATGGATATGAAGTTATGCTTAGAAAAGTTATTACTATTCAAGATCTAACATTATGTTTAGATAAAATGGATGCATCTGGGAAGATAGAAATATATCAGGTATTACAATTGGAAATTTATATTTAATTTTTTTACAATATTATGCAAAAATAAAATATTTTTTATTTAGGATCCTGTCTTGTATCGATGTTCTGTTATTATACGTTTAATCATAAACTATCATAGTAATACTGCAAAAAGAGCTTCTATTACACGATTAGACCTTCATTGCCAAAAGATGGAATTTAGTATAACAGAACAACAAGTGCCAATGTTACTCAGATTAGCAGCATTGATAATGGTTTTACAAACAAAACAATTTCCATCTAATAAAGAAAAATCTTTAATTCCTATTGATGAAAGAGAAGATAGTGTACAAGGTATTTTATTTATAAAAAATTTCATTGCATCATATAATTTTCATATTCTATATTATTTAATGATTTTTTAGATGATACAGAACATGTGATAGGAACTACTACAGATACTACAGGATGGGGTGGATGGGCTTGGAATATGGTATCATCTTTATTACCTATCGATTGGGATAATGATTGGTCTACAGAACAACAAATGGCATATTCTGGACATACCATTCATTTAGGCATATATATACAAGATGCAACTTTAACTTTTAAGGTATCTATTTAAAATAAAATAAAAAATAATATAATATATAAATAGATTTTATTTTTCTTTCTTTTTTCTTTTTTTTTTTATTTTTTTTATTTTTATTTTTATTTTTTTTTTTTTTTAAAAAAAAAAAAAAATAAAAATAAAAATAAAAATAAAAATAAAAATAAAAATAAAAATAAAAATAAAAATAAAAATAAAAATAAAAATAAAAATAAAAATAAAAATAAAAATAAAAAAAATAAAAAAAAAAGAAAAAAAAAAAAAAATATAAAAAAAATTTATTTTTTTTTTCTTTTTTTTTTTTTTTTTTTTTTTTTTTTTTTTTTTTTTTTTTTTTTTTTACATAGACAGTCGAAAATGTTAAGGAACAATTGTTTTATAAATCTCGTAAACTTCGATATAAATCATTTTTGACATTGCGATTGAATGGCGTAGTAGTAGATACATTGCTTCAAGGAATTGCAATGACTAGTTTTCAAATTGGAATGGGTTTCATACGTGTATATCCGAGAGGAACATGTAGCTGTGGTCACCTTGAAGTAGTTGATGGAGCACAAGTAATATTTTATATTATAATTTTTAATTTATAAATATTTTTTATTTGAAGTATGACTAATAAACAATTTCGTTTAGCCACCTTTATATTTAGTAGCTGGAAAGTTTAATACTCGTTACTTAAAAGATTCATTATTTGATGATGATTCAGTGGAAAATAAAGGGAAAAAACGAGAATATAAACAAGGAATATATTATCATTTACTTACAGTTTCAGGTAATCAAATTTTAAATCTATATTTATAATTTTGAATTTAAACATTTAGATTAAAACATTTCTAGAGGAGCGATTAATGGAACGATGTCCGGCGTTTTCTATAGACTACGTTCATTGCGTCGAATTGCCAGACGATATAACACCTGAAAAATTAGCAGAGTTTGGATCTAATTTCGAATATAGGTAATTAGATTAAATAAATATTCTTAAAAAAAATTTATAATAATTTTAAAATTTTATAAAATTATAAAAATCTTAATTAATATACTTTTTTTTAGTAATTTTCGCGAACGTAGAGTAATGAGATACATTATAGGTGATTTAACTATTAGATTATGTTCAGGTGTTTTTCACCGTATCGAAACAATAAAACAAGCTGCCGCAAATTACGATTATAATCCATATCTCGTTACAAAATCAGGTATATTTATATTATTTGATTATATATATATATATATTTATTTGAAGAAATTATCTGTATAATATATATTATTTATAAATTATCAGATCCACTTGTAAACGAACTTCCTCCAGTTACATTGGAAGAATATGAAGCATTGCGAGAAAATGTATCTATGGTTGAAACAAAATTATTAATAGTTAAAGCTTCACTTCAACTACAATTAGCAGATCATTCTATTACAGGACTTCCAAGACAGAGAAAGATAATTGAAAGTCGAGTAAGTAGTAAATATTTAATATACATAGATATATAATGAATAATATTTATTGTAATATTATTTATTTTTTTTTTTTTTTTTACATTTTTATTTTTCTAGACAACGCCATTAACACCTGCTCTTACAGACGATCCTTATATGAGCATTGAATGTGATGAAGTAATATTAACTATGCTCCAACCTTTATATCCATTTAGGCTTGCAGCTTGTGCATCCAAACAAACTGATATTCCGACCGAAATGTTTAATCAATGTCATAAGATTATTACATTACAGGTAATAGAAAAATTAATGCAATATATATCTTCTTTTATGGTAATAATGCTTAATTAACAGGTCAATGGAGCCAGAAGTCAACTTTATTTAACAAAAAATTGCCATACATCGATAATAATGCCTTATTCTATTGAATGTAAAATTCAAAAATTACTATATCCACAGTATTGGAAAAATGGCGACTTAATACATGAAATATATGAAGCACATATTGACAGTATTACAATTACAGGAACAAAAGCAAAATTAATGGCTGCTATATCTATCTTAACTTCAATTTTGAATTCTAATGATATGACAAATCCTCTAATTTGTTCTTCTTTATTTATCGATGCCTGCCAAGAAACAAGTATGTGCTATTTTATAATAATCAAAAATATTTAATTTATGTTATATGTAATATCTAATATATAATATAATATCAAAAAAATTTTTTAGACCCTGTATATCTGGAATTATTATTAGAAAACGTAAATTGTAAAAAATTATCATCTTTAATTACGATATCAAATGAATTAAGTATAAATTCAATAAAAATGTTTGCTCTTAATGAATCACAGCAAGCTTTTATATTTTCGGGACCAGAAAGTAACATTCACGGGTTGGTATACTTGAAATATATTAGCTAAATAAATGCTATATTGATTCTTTTTTCATTTTTAGTGATGCAGTAAATAAAGCGCTATTAACTATTATAATGCAATTTCCATTAAATATTGATAAACAAACGCATCCACCTTTGATTTCACTTCAAATAGCAGATATCAGAGCTTCAGTTGATCCACTGCTTTTTAAATGGCTAGAATATCGTGTTACGTATTATAATTTGGGTACTTTATGTACGACGCGACCCGAAACACAACATTTTGAAGGTGCATCTTCTGATACTGGTACAAAGAAAAAAACATTTCCTAGTTTACACGAAAGTGTACATAGTTCTTCAGATAAAGAAAAACGAAAATCCGTCATAATCACAGAAAAATCAAAAACTTTACAAAATGATGAAATTGAAAAAAAACATGATTCTAAATCTGAAAATAAAGGACAGGTACATTACTTAATTGTTTAACTAAATAATGACGCAGTTTCAAGTAATAAAAAATTTAATAATTACTATTTTTTTATTAATTATGTCTATAATCTTTTATTAGTTATAAAAAATTAATCTGTAATAGAACTTACAGAATTTGGGAATATTGGCCAGATTAGCAGAACTGTACCCATGGTGGTGTGGTCTTGTATTAAGTGGATGTGTTGGACATATTGTTATTTATATACCATCAATTACAATGAGTGGTATTGGTGCATATGGTAAGTATATATACTTTATATACTTATATATACTTTATAAATAATTTATTTGTAACTTTTTGTAATACTGATATTTATTAATTTAGGAATAGAAGAAGCCAAAGACAGAGCATTAAAAAACGATAATAAATTACAAATATTAATAATAAAATTACCTTCTCTTCTTGTTCATTCGTCTAATATAAATTTCGAGTTACTTATACCTTATCTTCACGAATTACCAGTTAAATTGCCAAAATCAATGTGGACTAGTAGTAAGTAATAAAAAATATATTAGGAAACATATGTAAAATGTTTTATTTTATTTTAATAATTTATTTTAGAATTACAAAGTTTTCCATGGACATTAAGTCTTGTTGACTTTCATTGTTATATGTTACAACAACAAACACAAAAAAATTTCATCAAAAAAGTTTCATTAAATGCTACAGTTGCTCTTACAACTAAGATTGCAACATCTCAATCTGGTGAAAATACATTAGCTGCTTTAGGTGTTTGTGTTCATATTGATAATTCTCCAATTATTGTTTCCATTTCTGAAGAACAGGTATTATAATAAAATTATTGTATATAGATAATATGTTATTGTATTATATTCAAGAAACATTTAAGACATTTTCTAAATATTATATTTAGAATATTTTAGATTATATTTTATTATATGTATTATATTATATAATTATATGAATTATATTTTCTTTAGGTAGTTTTCATGAGTAAAATAATCTCAAATATTTTAAGCGCGTTACGAACTACAACGAGTAATAATAAAAGTGTCATACATAGTAATCAAATAAATACCGAAACACAAGTTCTTCCAATCATATCTCAAACTCCATCTACACCAACACAATTATTATATCCTGAAGATACAACTACAAATTCAACTATTTCAACTTCAAAAGATGATAATACACAAGGTATAATATAATTAAATTATTTTCCATATATCCTTATATGTGGAAAATATGTATATAATATGTTTGCATCATATATATTTTTTATAGATACAGATGAATTAGTTTTGACGGCATGGATTCAATGGACTATAACAAAAATTGCAATTAAATTATATGTAACGGAAAAAGAGACTTTATCTTCATTAAAATTAGTGCTTGAATTAGAAGATATTATTACTTCTTTAGATATGCAACCTGTTTATTTTAAATTAAAAAATAAAATTACAACAGTCACAATATTTCATTATACAAGGTATATTATATCATTATATAGAATGATAATTTGTACAATTTTTTAATAAGCATTAAAAATTTTTGATAGAGCACCAAATTCACCAACCTGGGACATTGGCGAATATGTAGGTGCGGTTCTTTGTGGAAGAGAGGATAGTTTAGAAAAAGGTGATGATTCTGGTTTTTTAAGTTTTACCCTTACTAGAGCAAAATCAGGAAATGTTCATACTCGATGGGGCACTTATAAACGGCACAAGAGTCAAAAGGTATTTATATATATAGGTATATAGGTATATAGGTATATAAAAACATTTAATATTTAAAACAATGCTAATATTTAATTTATTTTAAAGTTTCAGAAAGATATAATAACAGAAACAACTTTATCTTCTAATAGTTATATTTCTGAAATAGTTATTAAAGTGCAAATGGTAGACATAATTTTACCACTTACTATTGTTAATAAATATATGCAATTAGTAAAACCTTTTACATGTTTTTATGAATCCATTGAGAAAGACGTAATTGAAAGTTCTGAACAAAGTGTCACAACACATTTAAACAGCATTACTAGTCTTGATAATGAAATTTTACCATTAATATACCTGGACTTTAAAGGACTTAGATTAATGCTACCAGTTTCAAATATTACAAAAATTAAGCCACAACATGATCTATTAATGATTCAATTGGATGGAATTCGTATTACACCACATGCAGAAAATCCAATTTGTAGAACACCTTTAAGATTAGATATATATCAACTTGCAGCTCAAGCAAATATTTTAAGTATACCAGGTTCTGCAGTAGAAGATCGACAATATCAAATTAATATAAAAAATATATGTGCTCATACAACTACTTGGAAGAATTATCAAATGACTATAAACAAGAAAATGTCTCAATCATATTTGTATACCATGAATGAAAATCCTGCATTAGAATGGAATAAACTTGGACATGGAAGTAGTTTAGAACGCCAATTTTCTACACTTCCGCTATTATCAAAATTTGATTTGTGTTTGATCATTGCTCCACCTGTGCTATTTAAACCAGATATTATAGTATGTGGAAGTGCAATTGAAGTGAATTGTATCACAGATATTGAATTAACAATAAATTTAGATCAGATTCAACTGATTTCAATCTTAAATAATGAATTAAAAAATGTATTATCAGGAAATTTTGAACGAGATAAAATCAATACAACTACATATATTAACATGCCACAGAAACCTCTTTCAACAATAGGAAATATTAAACAAATTACTTGGATAAAACAATCTTCTGATGATATAGATATTGATGTCACCAAGGATAGCGGTATAGATTTTGAAACATCTAGTGTGAATTCCACAATTGTTAGCAAACCAATATCTTCAAATACTTCAATCCTTTTACCATTTGAATTTCTTGTGAACTGTGGAAAAATAACTTTTGTTCTTTATGATATTCATCAAGCAGTCACAGAATATGAAGTTGATATAAATGAAGTTGAAGAAGATGAAGGAGAAAGTCAAAAACAACCGCTTTTTTACGTAATGATTAATCAGCCAAACATTTATTTTTCGCAACAACATCCATCGCAAAAAATACAAATATCTTGTTTTGATATAACAATGGCGCTTGGAGATAAGGATAATCAAGAATTAATTTCAATACCAACGGAAAAAGATTTCAAAGTTTTTATGATCGAAACGAAAAATGGCGATTTACATCCAGATACAGGCATTCCTCCATCTTTTATAACAATGAAATATGAAAAAACCATAACAAAAAATCCACAATATTTTATAGATATGGGTAGACCTACAAAAATTTATTTTTCTTTGTCCAGACTAAATCAGATATACATTATAAAAAATAAAATACAGTCACGTTTTATCAAGCAATATGAAACAAAATTATTAGAGCAATATGATGATATTAAAACACCTTCAATAACAAAATCGAAAAAGTTAAATTGGCCTGATTTGAATATATGTACAAAACAAATTGTATTATCGCTTAAAACTGATTCTGGTGCCGAAATAATAACCAGTTTAGCTTCATTATCTGGAAATATTTCATCTCTTCTTAGACCTGACAGAATATATTCCAACACATCTGTAGATTCTCTTATCATATCAGTAATTTTGAATAGTAACATAAAAGTGCTTTTAAATCCATGGTGTTGCAATATTACAATATGCTTACTTTGGGAAACTTGGTTAAACATTGACTCTATTCCTCAAATACAAATACAAGCAGATAGTGATAGCCTTTATTTAGATTTTGGACCAGAACAAATAAAAATTATTAAAAATGTTATGGAAGATTGTCAATTATTATTACATGAACTAACAAGATCACCTAAAAAATTCAAAAATAATGAAAAGCAAATTGTTCTTTCAAGTGAACAACATTATAAAGACGATCTCAAAGCAGGCGCATTCCAATTTGTAAACGGAAATGCAGATGAATTACCTTTTCCATATCAAGTAAGTTTATAAAATATAATATTTTTTCAATAGCAACTTTAAAAAAGTTTAAATAATTATTTAATTCATCAGGTTATATTTTTCACTTATCCTCAACAATCAATGGCTTGGAGATATCCTCAACCAAGAACATTAACTAAAATACATGTATCTCCAGTTCCATTCGAAGTAAGTAAAATATTTTTCTTAGAAAATTATATATCAAAACATCTTTTAATTTTATAACAATTTTTCTTTATTTTTTAGACATTAGATTCTGATATTGGATATGTTGATAAAGTACTTTGTGCTCTCGAATATTGGAGTGACAGTCATATGTCTTATCAGCGATATGCCGATTTTTACTTATCAGAAACAGATTCCTATCGCTTAGAGCTTCCTGAAAAATCCCCAGCAAGAGCAGTAGCTTGTATATGGCGTGTAGTTTTGCTACCAAATAATAATCGACCTCTTACCAAAACTATAATCTCAGCTCGCGTTCTTGCAGCTTGTTTACGAATTGATTCATATTTCAATTCTTCAATTATACCTAATATACAAGCTGCGCTTAATATTGGCACTATTCATATATCCATGTATAACCATGTTAGTACAATTATGTACAATAATTTACAGGCTCCATTAAAAAATTATAGTTTGAAAGGTACAATTCCCGAAATTCAGTGTTTTATGACTTTGGAACATAAAGGAGCTATTCTTGTATTTAATAGATGGATAGACGGTTCAATTCTGATTGATATTAGTGGTACATTTGGAGTACATATACTGGATTATGGTCACTTAACTATGCAAGAAATATTAGATCCTCTAGAAGCGAGATTTCAATTATCTCTATCAGATAAAACAGATATATCTTTTATATGTAGTCCATTTGCATTGAAATTGAGTCCAACAATAGCTCATACTCTTGTAGTTTCAATGCATTTATGGTATGCATCCTTAGAAGAAGAAACCAAGATCACGATTCTATTCACACGTTACGTGATTGCTAACGATAGCAATATGTCTATCCTTTTTGGCCAAAGTGGAGCAGGAGATAATATATTATTGGAAAGTAGACAATGTATCTTTTATTCATGGCGAAATATTGGCAACAAAATGTTACGAATAGCTATAGAAGAAAATATTTGGTTATGGAGCAAACCATTTTCTGTTGGTGCAGATGGAATTCAAGCAATCGAATTTAATAATTCTATTATGAAAGCAGCAGTATTTGTAAGCGTTACGTCACTCTCAGCTACACAAAAACTTGTAACATTTTCTGGTCAACTTATAATTTCAAATCAATTAATTGATAACTTCGAAATGAAATTAGTTAAATATGAAACTGAAATTGGATCAAAAGTGACTGTATTAAAAGATGTATATCCCATTCTTGGTAAAACTCGACCACCATCTGTTATACTTGATGGAAATAAAAAAATGGCAATACGTCTACGATTCACGAATGTACCAAATTTATCTTGGACTGGTGATATTCCTCTTCAACCTAACGCTAAATGGGGACAACCATGGCTCGTTAAAGTTCCATTACAAGAACGAGGACAATTTTTAAGTATTTGGGTACGAATAATAACGCAAATAATTCAGGATAAAACAAAAGTACTAGCTGTACTTAGTCCACTCTACATGATTCGTTCACATTTACCAGTACCAGCTAGAGTACAAATGGATACACCTTCATTGAAAATATCTTTAAGCACAATGGTAAATGGTCGAGGTGAAAAACAGCAATTATATTGTCCTGGAACATTTGAACATTTTCATCAATTAACATTTCAATTAGAAACCGGAGTTTCTACATCTAATCCATATGTACCATTATCATATAGCTCTGTGGATCAAAGAAAATTCTTTAAAAGACCTGAAATTGAAAATATTGACAGCATTTTACAAGAACTTGAGAATCAAAAAGATGAACTTCAATGGCCTTTCCAAGGAGACGAGGTCGAAGAATGGGTATCTGCTGAACAACCCCAAACACATGTACAGGTGAAATATCAAGATGCTGGATTAATTTCAAGTACTTTATTATTAGAATTACAGCCTTGGTGTTTCATGTTAAATTCCATGGGATGCCATTTATCTCTTGTATCAGAAGATATTGAACTTTGTCAAATTCCTCACTATGGAATTGTAACGCCACCAAAATTAGAAGGTACATTCCATTTATGCGTTGGTATCTGTGATACATTTTATACATCCCAGGCCTTACAATTAGCTCGACTTGATTGGAGTCAAAATTTTTACATGCCACGAATCGGTGGACTCATTCCTGTTGAGGGAAACATTAAATCATGCGTCGATTGCGGTTCGAGTGTTTCGATCATGAGTATCAATTCGAGTATGCATGAGGATATGCGACTTGTACGTATAACAAGTAGTCATGTTATTAGTAACTTAACATCCCAAGAATTATGCATTGCAACATTAGCAGTACATGAAGATACAACTAGACTTGAATTACCTAATGATCTTACTCCTTATAGTCTTAATATTTCACCATCTGAAGATCAGAAACAAGGTATTCCAATTACGCAATGGTATACGTTATACATGGAAGATATTATAGAGCCTCTTGTACTTTATATATCTTTGAGTGTAGGACATAAATGGTCTTGTCCAATTCGAGTCGACCAAGGTATGAGTCGTAAATGCATTGCTATTCCAAATGGTTCTACTACTATACCAGTAGTCATTACAATACAAGAAGACAAAGGCACAACATACATAATGATACATGTAGATTATCATCCTCAACTATTTATTGAAAATACCTGTGCTTTTAAAATTCTAGTAGGTCAAGCTAATGAAACAGGAGATGGAATAATAACAGATACTTTTCACTTTACATGGATTTGTGAAATAGAAAGTAATGCAACAAGCCATTATTCTACTCCTTTTAATAGTAGTAGATTACCTGATGTACCTATTATTAATACATCGAATATACTATTGTTTTCCGCTGTGACAAATAGTCATAATGATAAGATAATAAGAAGTAAAGAACTACGATGGTCAAGAGGTATAAATTTATCCGCTATATCAAATACATCAGTGGATCAGTATGTACGGCTACCATCTTATGGAGACGTGAAATTGATTATGCAGAATCGTTGTTATACTACTTATATTAATATTGTTCCAATATCTCAAGTAGAAGTTTCCGCAAGAGATATTAGAAGTCGACTTTTACGAAAAGAAAACGATATGAAAGATGCAGAAATAATACGTGATAAATTTTCTAGCGATCCAGATGATGAAAAAACAATTATAAATGTTCAAAGTTCTGAAAGTTCAACTTCAGTAACAACTTTCTTCTCAGCTCAAGATGATTCTATCGTTACAGAAACTAAAACTGCTTCGCAGATAAATTTACGACAATTAATAACGGATATAGAAAATGTGAAAATCAATACAAATGATGATACAAAAGATATTGATGAAAATATTTCTAAAGAAGGTTCAGCGACTATTTGTCTTCGTGGCGTTACCATCATTATTATGCATGACATGAATGAAAATGCTCAAAGAATTGAAGTAGCCAGCTTATCTATGATTGATGTCATTGTTGCCATTAATGCAAGATCTAGAATTATAAATATATGTGCCTTTGTAGGCGATTTACAATTAGATAATCAGTTATTTGATCAAGGAGGTTTTGATTTTCCAGTAGTATTAATTAGTCAAAGTCCGCTTGTAATGAAAGAAACAACATTTTACACAAATAGTTGTTTAATAAATAAAATAGAACAAATAAGAGAAAATTCGTTAATTGCGATTGATTATGTATTAGAAAATTGTCAGGGACAATTAAGAGGTATTTAATATTTTTATAATTTCTTTAAATTTCTTTAAATATTTTATATAAATTTTGTTATCTTGATAATTTTTTCAGCATCAAAAGATCTTCATATAAAAATTGCACCAATTAGTGCTTACATTGAAGATACATATATAACTCAATTATTGAATTATGCAACTTCAATGATACCATTTCGAGTTTTTGAATCAGATGACATGAAAAAAACGAGAATGTTAGTTTCAACTATTGGAGTGTACATTCCCGATTATATAATGGTTGATGCAAAAATATTAAGTAGTCCATTAAGATTACAAAATTTAAAAATAGAACCTATATCTATCTTATTAAGTGTACATACTTCTATACATTTATATTTGGCTTTAGATCATTCTCCTTTGTATTTTAGTAATTTTGAAAAAAAAAATATTTTAACTACATCTTATAGACTTGGCAATGCAATTACAATGCATTACTTATCTGGTGCTATATTTGGGGCAGGTATGAAAATTATATTATATATCTAAATTTTTTTTATATTAAATTTTATGTTTTAAAATATTTGTGCTTTAGGTTGGGTAGTAGGATCTTTAGAAATATTAGGTTCACCTGGTAGTTTAGCACAAGCTCTTGGTTCAGGACTTCGAGATTTTATTTCTCTTCCATTTCAAGGTTTGTTACAAGGACCATGGGGTTTTATTGTTGGAATAACACATGGTTCAGCTAGTTTAATGAGACATGTTACAGCAGGTATTAATATATTAACATATGAACATGGTAATTATAAAGCTTATTTATATTTTTATGTTTAATTTATTTTATATAGGTACATTAAATTCCGTAACGAAATTAGCATCTAGCGTAGCACGAAATTTAGATCGTTTAACACTCGATGAGGAACATCTTCAAAGGCAAGAAGAATCCCGTAGAATGCGTCCTCAAGGAATGGCGCAAGGATTATATCAAGGCTTGACAGGATTTGGAATGAGTCTTCTCGGTATTTAAATATATTTTTTTTTAATTTATTACTTTGTATTAACAAAACTTTTCTTTATCTATTTAGCCGCAGTTGCGGGTTTAGCTCATCATCCTTTACAGCAAGTTTGGTCCGGAGAAATAACTACTAAAAGTCTCGTGACTGGTGTTGGACTTGGACTTGTTGGAGTAGTTACTAAACCTTTAAGTGGAGCTGCAGAATTATTAGCGTTGACAGGACAAGGTTTACTTCAAGGAGCTGGTTGGAATTCTTTGCCTTCAGTAAATAACTTGTCCTTAATGAAATTTATTTTAAATATATTTAATAAAATTACTTAAAAATAAATACATTTTTATAGCCTCGACAACGTCCAGTGGTTCAATATACATCGGGCAATAATAATGCAACTATTAGATATGCTTGGTGGTTATTACCTTTACTTGAAAATAATCATGGAAATATCTTGCATGTTACTAATGCAGATTACTTAATCCAGCAAGGCACTAGTCGTCCTATAACGTTAGTTCTAACACGACATGCGTTGTTAATAGTTAACACGGCTGAAGATAATGTAGAACGGATATTTTTATTAAAAGATTTAACGAGTGCCGATCATCATTTGGAATCGACGATATGTTTATATTGTTCTCCTGAAATGATACAAACTAACAGAGCTATATCTCCAGCACCATATGAAGTATAATATATATTTTACGATTTTATTAAATATAATTAAATATAATATATATATATAATTTTTAATAATATTTCTGTTGATAGATGGATCGTGAAATGCGAGCACGAGTAGCGGAATATGTACGAACTAGTAGTACTGGTTTAGCTAGTGTTTCTACAAATAGTGATGTACAATCTGATATTTTTGAGAACACTACTCCTAATTCTGATCGTACACTCACATTTTATGTTTCCCCAGATTCGCGTAATTATTTATTATCGCTATTTAACATCGCCAAACGACAAAGTCAAGGTAGTGGATTTACAGTGTTATAATGAATAAGTAGAATGTATTAGATTATTTTCTTGTATTCAAAAGTAGAAACAGTGATTAACGCTCTGCTTCCAAAAAATGAAAAGTGATAAAATAGTATTATCTGATTTAAAAATTATTTTTAAATGTGATGTGCAAAAAAGTTCGAATTACACGATATACATGTGTACATATTTAGAGCAACATTTTTGATTTTATTTTAAGTAATAAATTTAAATTTATGGATTTTATTTCATCTTATAATATATTGCACAGAATAATACTATGCACAATTTAAAGAAATGTTCTTATATATAAAAAAAAAATGCTTTTTCAATTTTTATATAAAAATTTATGATTAAAAATGATTAAAAAAACTCTTTTCACAAATCTTGTTGTAAAATTTAATAAATAACATATATAATGTACATATCATAAAAAAAATGAAAGTATGTTTGCAAATTTAAGTATGTGATCAATGCATTTTATTAATATAATATATATTACATTCTGTGCAAATATTTTATGCAACATTTGTAACAAAACATATGATAAAGGACAAATTTTTTGTGACTTAAAAATATCTATATGTAATGTATTATCATTTATTTAATATTTGATATGTATGAATTGAAAATAGAATGCAATAAAATATAAAAAATTTTATATATTTAGTCAAAATAATTATTAGATTTTATTTACAATATTGAATATAAAATATTCATAATTAATAATCCAACAATATAAATAATTTATAATAATGGAAAATAATTTAATCATAAATCCGTTGTATTTCATTATTTTTATAAGACATGCCACAAGATATACATTTATTATTTCCAATAGATGTTAGGATTTTTCTACATAAAACATGCTTGCATGGAAGTTGATAAAAAATGCCATTAGGACAACAGGAACAATTAGTTAACTTTGAATCATTCTTTGGAATGTTATTAAAACGTTTTAAATTAGGTACTGATATATTAATATCAAAATGTATTTCATTATTAAAATTTAAATTATTTGTATCAGTACAATTATTTTTTGTTTCATTTTCTGTGTCTATAGACACAGGTACATAAGAATTGGCAGTAATTTTTTTCTTTACTAATTTATTAATTGAACTAGAAAGAGTTCGTTTCTGAGATATCATAACTGGCAATTTATGACAGAGTTTATTATTTGTTTGTGTAACAGAACAATGCAATTTTGGTTTTATATTATTTGAACTTTTAATTATATTTCTTTTTAATAAATACTGAGGAACTTCTGCTATTTTTTTATCTGTTATATTTGAAGATATTGCGCGACCTAATACTCTTGGCAATTTTTTAATTTCTTCTACATTACTATTTTCAAGTAAAAATTTATCTATCCGTATTTTTAAAGCACTTGCTATAACAGGTTTACGATTTTCGCTAAATGGTAAACCAGTAAAAGGATCTGTTAATCTTCTTCCCCATATTGCTTCATTTTCTTCATGTTTCAATAATGTACTCTGATCAATTATTTTTCCACTTGGTAATAGAATTGGTTGTGTCATTATTTCATAAGTAATAGCATCTAAGAAACATTCTGGAACTTGTAAATTTGATTCTAATGTTTCTCTAAAACAATATATGCATAAATAGAATTAATAAATCTTAAATCAGTATATATATTAAAAAATAATTTCATATTTACTTGTTATCTGTAATAACAAATGAATCTTTATTCTCAGATTTTTGTATAGATTCAACTAAACAAGATTGTTGTTTGAACCACAGAGTAGAAATATTGGCTATTATGTCTTTTCCACAACGTGGTGATACTGTTCCCCATACTTCAATCTTACCTAATGCAGGTACTGAATTCTTTGTTTTACATATACATATTCTTAAACTATTTATATATGTTGTTAAGTAGCGCAGAGAAGGTTTTATATAAAGTTTTAAAAAATTTGGTGGAGCAGAAATTGTTTCATGCTTAATATTTGATGGACACAATAATAATCCAGTATTTGTGGAGTCCAAAAATCCAGTAGCTAATAAAGCATAAGGCACACTAGTATCATTACTAGTTTTGGCATATAATTGAAAGCCTGATGACTTTTGAGAACCAACTTGTGGCCAAATTAAAATATGATTGATACATACATTACATAAAAAAGTAATATCAATATTTATAGGAGGCTTGATACAAGCATATGCTAAAAATCCTTTGTCAGAATTAGTTATTAAATTAGTAACTTCATATCCTTCTGTATTGATAGTATCACTATGAATTTCTGGTCTTAAACGAGGATCACAAAAGTTGAAAAGCATTTCTTCGCTTTAGAAACACATACAATGACATTTTTTAAAAAAAATTGCAATTTTTAATCATTTTACAAGAAATTTTCCTTCTCTTTTGAAAAATCTATTTTATATAACCTATTTACTCTTCTGTCACACTCACACTATAGTTTCAGATTAGGTTAGTGTTGGTATTGAAATGCGTCCAATCTCTTGAATGAGATGTGAAAGCACGTGGACAAAGATAAATTTTTTAACTAAAAATAATTATTATTGTTGTAATAAATGGAATCAGTAACAATAAAAATGGAAGTTGACGATAGCATGAAAGAAGCAGATAGTGGTGATGTTATAGAAATTAGTTATGAAGAAAAACTCAAATATACAAATTCTATAGCTAAACCTATGGCTTCAAAGAAATTAACCAAAAAAATTTATAAATGTATTAAAAAAGGTAAGCTTTTTAAATCCTGAAGTTTATATAAAATTTTAATGTAATATAAAATAATTTCTTTAAAATTTCTTAGTTAACATATTTATTTTGATATTTTTTTTTAATTTGCAACATAACCATTTCAGCTTCAAAACATAAATCTTATCTTCGAAATGGTTTAAAAGATGTTCAAAAACATCTTCGGAAAGGAGAAAAAGGGTAAAATGTATTTTTACTTATAAATACATATTAAAATTTTGTTATAATTAAAATATTATTGATATAAAAACACTTTATGTATTTTTAATAGATTGGTAGTATTTGCTGGAGATGTTTTTCCAATAGAAATTATGTGTCATTTACCAATTGTATGTGAAGATAAGAACATTCCATATTGTTACACACCTTCGAGACAAGATATTGGTACTGCTATGGGAGTGAAAAGAGGTAGTCTTATGGTACTTATTAAAGAGCATGAAGAATACAAAGATCTTTATGAAGAAATTAAGTCAAACATGATAACATTATCAATGCCATTATAAGCATATGTGCAATCTTTTGCATTTTATTCATTTTGTAAATAGAATATTACAATACGAATTTTTTTTCAAAAGTTTTTTATCAGATATTATATCTTATTTTATAAACATCTTTCAATATAAACAAATATATCAAACAAAAATTTATCGTATAAATTATTATAATATAATCATTTTGATATACAACAAATATTTTAACATAAATTACTATAAAATAATATGTAACGAATCTAAAAAAAGAAAAAAAATAAAATAAAATTTTTTTATCTTAATCTAATATTTTTTTTGTTTAAAGATTATAAGTTATATTTTTATCTTCTTTTTAATAAAAAAAGTTTATAAAATTTGTGTTAGAAATTAATTGCAAGTATTTTTTGATATTAAAATGAAAATAATACATATTGTTCAAAATGTATGAAATTGATTTTCAAACACAATTTTTAAAAATATCAATTTTAGTTAAAAATTAAATTTATTTATCACCTCTCTTTGTTTCTGTGCATTGGAAAATAGAATATTAAAATTTAGCTTAAGATAAAAATCATATTTCTCAAAGCGGTATGCATATATACGTATATACAGCTTTACTTCTTATTCTTAGGTGAATAAAATTAAATTTGACATAAATGTCATTATTTCGATTAACGATCATCGAGATATCTGAAAATCAATATGGATTGTCAGTTGAGACCTTCAAACAATCGCTTTTCTATTATTTTTGTTTTCATTATGATTTTCAAGATATCTTTAAATGTTATGTCTAAAGATAATTATAAAATTTGAAATTTATTAAATAGTGTTTGTTCGATAATACTATTCATTTGCTGTCTGTCATATATTTATTAAATTTTGTGTCCAATTATTGGCGCATAAATATTTAAATTTGAAAATGTTCTCGAATATGAAGATTAAAAATAACTTATAATTGGTCGTAAAATATAAGAAAAAGAATAGAAAAATTAAGTATACGGAATAGTTAAAAATTTAAAACATAAATCTTAATATAGAAACATTAAGAATTGTTAGCCATAAGATTTAATTCATATTAAATTTTTTGAAAAATTGTACACATTCATTAATATGAAACATTGTAATAATTTTTTATCAATACCTATGTTTAATTCTTAATCTGATCAAATTATTTAAATTTCAGTAACAAATGAATTAATTCGATTCGAAACAGAGGTCGCAATTGCAACAATCATTCTCGGCTTAGGATCGAAGGCTTTGCGAGCATATAAATTTAAAATTTAAAATAAAAAAACATGAATGAATAAGTACATTGAGAAGTTCAACATTTTTTACTTTAAAGAAAATAACAATAAAAAAGATTTCTATTCATTGATATAAATTATTCTTATGTTAAACTTTATATTTACAATCATTGCATTTATAATTTTAAATGCTCGCAAATGCCTTGTACGCATTGACAAAATGTATTTAACCTAAACTTTTGGGGAATTATGACTAAAATGCATATGAAAATTAAAGTTTTCGATCTTCTATCGCTTTATATCTTCGTTATATAACTGTATCCTTAATCCTACTTTACTGACTGGTATAAAATATACATTTAGGAATGACGAAGAATAACATTGACATTAAAATTGACATAGCGTACAAGTGGGACGTTATTCTCACCCTCGCCGGAACAGATATATACACCGCGTATACATTATTTCCGTTAATTTCTTACAAATCAGGCAGTAATGCATCTTATGGCTGCAATTTTTTAATTTTTCTTCTCCTTTTCAATTCGTTTCAAATATTTGAATTTAATAATTTGAATAATTATTTCAAAACTTTACGAATATTTATCACGCGTGTTTGTACATATTTTTAAATACAAGATATATAATGTAAAATTACGAGTCATGTGTATTTGCAAATTTTAATTTTTTCCTCTCATTTTCTCTCATTCATTCACTCATTCAAACATACTTTCATTGCGAAATAATGCAGGGAATCGATTGAATAATGAATCGATTGAATAATCACGGCAAAAAATGATCTAACGAGTATTAAATATTTGTAATACCGACTGCTAATAGTACAGGTTGCTTCATATTCTAATTGAAGATTTATGTATGATCATAACTGGCTTGAACGATGCATAATTACGCTTCTTCGACATACAAGGACCAATTTGTGCCTTATAAAGTACAAGTTGCTAAGAAAATATATAATATACGCGAAGATTCACTCTGACACAGAGATACATCTAACATAACATCGTTCTATATTTTACGAACGGTGGATTCGCATAATTATATAATCATTATGAATAATCGATTCACTCTCATTCTTTCATTATCTAGCTATTAATTATTCTTACCGATGTAATCGCAATTTATAATTCTAAAAGTAACCCATTACCGTGATCGATATGTTGCAGTTTGTATTGGACGATCCTACTTACATCGATTGAACTGCATATGTCCTCATCATTTAATCGACAATTAAGATGAAAATAGTAATTTCACTTAGCCATAAATTGTTATAAAATAGTAGAAATACGAGAGGTCTCCTCGCATTCGAAGAAATCGTAATTTTGTTGCATGGAAACCCAAGAAATGAAGCATGGCCTGTTGTCGGATGCTGTACAAACAATGTAAAAATCCGCGTTGATTTATCATTAATAGTTATTTCTTATAGAACTATATTTACCGCTTAATATAATCACGCTCTATTATGGACTAAAGCTATTGCTCGTTTTCTTCAGTCTAACACGCATCGATAAAAGTACGGCAAATTTTTATCGTCTCTTGGAAATATTTTTCCTTCAGCGGCTTTTTCTGATTCAGATTTTATTCTCCAACATTTCCCTCCTGCTCCCTTTTTGTAAAATTAAATTATAATTTTATTATTAGGGAGAGGGAAGTGGAAATTATAATAATCATTCAAGTAAATACTGTCCAAGATTTCTTATTATTTAGATGCAGAGCGATTTGGTATAAAATGCAATTCGGATTTGATGCATTCTAAAATTCTTTTTGAAATTGATTTAGAAATTTTCTTGTAAGAATATACAGAAATCTTGAACAATATTAACAGAAAAAATTTGAAAAATCTCAAAGATTTCAACAGCCACCGAAATATCTCTTGTATAAAAATCACTTATTATGTGATCAGAATGGATGAGCAATTTAAAGCATTCACGTTCTTCACATTTGAAAAACGTGCCGTGCTCATTGACGGAAAATGGGATGCAAGATTTATTTTTTCAACTTATATTGTGATTTATTTTTTTTCTGCAATTCGTATTTGTAATCAAAAACATATTAAAACTGTCCAGGTGATTCAACATCACCCTGTTTAAAGGTCGCTGTGGCAGCAACGACGAATCGTCAATGAAAGGCACCATCTTGTTTTATTCGCTTACAAACGACGGACGCCCGTTTGAAATTCTAAAAGATCGTACACATTTTAAATAGATTTTTCAACAATATAGATATCAGATTCATCTCCATTAAAATTGTACAAAAGATACAGTTTCACCAATTATTTTGGAATAATTTTTTTTACGTTATTTTTCAAGACAAAGAAAAACAAGAAGAAACGTACATTAGACAGAAATATTCATTTTCATTGCGTACGACAAACAAGATTGATAAAAAATTAGAGGATCTATTTCCTCCTTTTTTATCTTTTTTTGCTTTTAGGCATCCTCAATGTGCATAAATTGTTATCGGCGTTTAAATTTTCTTAAGTATAAATTTGTAGCAGTATCAAAATAGTAAAAATGGTGCATATGAAGACCATGAGCACGGGTAGGACCAAAATGAATCGGATTGAGCGGCGTAGGCCGCTGGGCTCTTGTCATACAACCTGTTCACCAGACTCGATCGAGTCGAACAAAGGTCGTTCAGATTGTGGATCGTTGTTCGCTGATGATGCTGTACCTTCACCACCGCTGGAACTTTCTCTTCTAGTTTTACTTGTGCCAGAAAAGCATAAACAACCGGACTGATTACGATTTCTTTTTAATGTTGGCTTATTCTCTCGATCTCGTTCCGCTAAACATTTTTGATAATAATCGTAATCTTTTAAATACCTGTTTAACAAAAAAAAAAAATAATTCATAATTTTAATTATTTAATTATTTCTAAATATAAAATGAATCAATTTCCAGCTTAAAATCCTGCATTCTAAATGTTATTACATACCACACTGGAGGCCATCGATGCTCATTTAAATATTCTTGATTCTCTGGATGTAAAAGACGCACACTTCGTGGAGACATCTTGCACAATTTGTTATAATTCACGCATAAGTAGTTCATACACCAGTCAGCTAGTTGATCGGCGTTATGCAACTGCGACATGCAAATTGGAGAATGAGCTATCAGAAATTGGACTCATGGATCGATGTACTGGTCGTTGAAAGAAGAGCTGACCTTGCACGGTTCTAGTAATCTCAGACAATTCTCCACGGCCTCGTTTCCCTCGTTTTGAGACAATCTCTCGAGATCTTCGATTACTCTGCTCTCGACCAAGTTTACTAGTCGTGGTAAGCAGAGACGATTTGCCAATTCTAAGAGGTTCAAACATCTGGCAGAGGAAATTGCTGGCACTTCATCCGTATAGAGATAACAAAGCAGTTTGTGAAACGTGTATTCGCGTACACCAGGAAACACTATCTGTTCAATGAATTTTATTATATATCAACAGAGAACAAACGTTTAAAATAATTTTTAAAAAGAAAAATACTTACTACTTTTGCGCTGCTTTCACGAAAATCACCGGAGAACATAGCTTTCATCACATCGCATCGGGCAGTGAGAATTGCTTTATGGGCTGGAACACTTCCATCATCTAATTCAAATGTTACATCGGCGAAGAGTCCTAAAAAAAATCATATTTTATGATTGAAAACAAGAAATAATTATTTTGAATTAAATTTTTATCAATATTCTACCTTGTTCTAGACAAATATCTTCTAAACGTTGTCTCACTACGTGTTTGTAGCGATTATTAAGATCATTATTAAATTGATCTCTAGTTTGTAGAGTTCCAAGCACCATCAACAATTGCGGAAGCTCCAAGAATTCCGCTGCCTGTCTAATTTCCTGTACGTGAAAGAAGATAAAATTAACCAATATTTTTCTATAATAGAACATGATTATGAAATGAAATTTTTAAAATCCATTTTTAGATTGTCAGCTGAAAAAAAATTAATAATGTTTTCCATGCACCCATGATCAATGATTTAATGATTTTTAATGATTCTTAAAAATAGAAACCTTTTACATAAATTTATATATATTTTATGAATCACAATTAATATATATATAATTTATATATATATTAATTTGTAATATATATTCATATCATCTAAAATTTGTTTAAAATTTATTTATAAATAAGTAACATGCTAAAATGATGACAAATATGATAATAATCTAATATATTGTAGAAAACGGTGAATCGATATTTCTTTTAGCTAATATCTATACATTATGCGTGCGTATACAATATCATGTATGTGTATGCTCTTATCAGCAAACATATTTCACATTGTACTAACCAGTAGAAGCCCAATAGGAGCTGTCTGAAAGAATAGAGCCGCGTTAGTTACCGCATACCGCACTGGTAGCATATTTAAGCTTTAAACTTACTATTTGCACAAAGTATTCCTCCAACAAGAAAAATATTTTACTTTACGGTTTTATCTTCGATCCAAAATAGTAAAACCCACCAACAGTATATTTGAATATACAAATATTACAAAATGTTCACACAATTTTCTGGAACATCTACCAATTGATCTAATTTTTAAAAAAATTAACTTATTTTTTCAATAGCTATTTATATAGATTTACCGTAACTATACTTATATAGTTTAAAAGGAAAAGTACAAAACTTATTTAGATTATTATATACATTTATTATATAAAAATTATAAATAAATGTTTTTTTCTTCTATGCAATAATGATGTAAAAAAATCGATCTACACAAGTTATTGCATCAATTAAACAAGAAAATTTTAATAATCCACGGGTGTAGTTGCCCGCATAGATAATTCTATCGACGCAACGTACTTGTAGATCGTGATACCGTTTATCCAAGCTGCCCGTATAAATGAACTGCAAACATTGCTGCATTGCCTGCGGCGTAATTAACTTAGACAGCGTAACCACTGTCGTTGATTGCTGCATTCCGTTTGTATTCTCAGTCTATAAATAAATTGAATAGAAAAAGAATAATGATCGAGATTTTATTATAAATTAAACAAAGAAATATTTAATTAGTTCTTATATTTAGTTTCTTATATAGAAACTTACCAAACATACACGAATGTTTTGGAAGGCAGGATGATTAAGATCTCTGGTAGTACCAGTCGGTTTCTTTTGGTTGTCCATGGTGGGCAGTACTTGAAAGCTCGAACGTCGCTTCAATTGTTCCCAAACTCTATATTTTTCATAAAATTTATTTAATTTCATTCAAAATCATTGTATCATTATTATCATTATTAATTATTTTTGAATAAATGGTAAGTAAAATAAAATACCTATAATATATTCTATAAAGATTTTCACTTCTTTTAAATATTAAATATTTAATGCATGTTTCTAAACTTTAGATCGTATAACTATGCTATAATTTGAACAGATTTACCAGATAAACTTACTTTGCAGGTTTTGATTGATCGATACGAATCAGGCACTCGGTGTCATCGTTGAAATCACCGACCGTTGCTTCACCAAACGTACTTACCTTCAGAAGGATAAAAGATGTTTATAAGTAAGATAACAAAATAGTAAAAAAATGATAAGAAATATAAAACACCATGCTAGATTCGCTAGAACTTCGAGGTGTTTGCTCTTGAACAAGTTCCATAGAGAAAAGTCGATGAAATGCAGGCGATGCAGCGGCTAAAAGACACCTATGAGCGGAAAACGTGCAGTTTCCGGCTATTAAGGTCACGTCAGTGTGAACAGGCTTTGTCCATAGTGTCTTCATATTCTCTTCATAAGTGCTTGCGGCTAGACACACTTCCGGTGGAACAGGTTTCGGTGGACAAAATGGTGCCTGAAATTGATAATTAATATTATCAATAAATTTTTCAATTTTTATTTTTCAATATTTTGATTAATTCATTTCTTCAATTTATTCTTGAAAAATATTAATTTAATTTAAAAAATATTATTAATATTTAATTTTTTCCTATTTTTTTCATATTATAAATTGGAATCTTCATAGTGAATGAGAATAAATTTTAATCATTTAGACGAATTATTTCAATATAAATTCAATTAATATTAATATAAATTAATTTTTTTTTTTTAGTAAACTTTAATAGAACTTTATATACCTGAAGCAGAGGTCTCTGCACCCTTTTCAAGTTCGTCATCCAAAATCGTTGCTGACGCCTTGCAATTAAGGCAGCACGTATCGAATTTTCGAACACTTCATTAACACCGTAATACGTGAAGACACTGGTCTCGTAATAACAAACGCCAAGTTCACGTGCAACGGCTCGAGCTTGATCGGGCATTACCAGATCGCTCTTCCTCGTAGCTCTAAAAATCATTTATCTCAGTAAAAATAATTCCAAATTAATATCAACTCTAAAGGACATCGCTTATGAAACGTGTTCTTATAAAAGTATTATCCAGAACGATCGTAAAGAAAATCCTGAAAGTCACTATGAACTTTAAGAATCTCTTGAGAGTTTCTGATATGTCAAGGCTCAGTTAATCTCCTTTCATATCACGTGGAATATTTGAATAAAAATTCCATTACCTAAACCAAAATATTCTTCTAATCTGTCAATATGTTAATAAAAAACTCGAAGTTTCGATAATTCTTCGATAATCGCCAATACACTCAATTGACAAGAAAAAGATAGTTTCTGCTTAATAAGAACAGTGTATCTGATCGGGAAAGAATCACGGAGCATCTGTGAAATCAATACTTCGACACACTTCGCCGAAGAGGTCGATCGTTAAGGAAGCATCAATGCATTTGAACGAGGTCCAATATAGAATGAAAAAATCGATTTGAGAAAGGTGTGTTGCTTCTAAATACGGAAAAGGAAAATGCGGTTAAACATAGTTGTTGATAAAGATAACGTACCTCACGAACGGACTTCGATCACGAAAATAGCTCAAATAAGTTTCATCTCGATACATGTAACGCAGATCGTTCTTGCATCCCACTAACAGCACGGGGGTCTGCGGGCAGAACCGTCGTATTTCTGGGTACCACATCGCCTTGCAATTCCGTAGCGAAACGGGATTGGTTATGGAGAAACATAGTAGCACGACGTCTGATCTGTATTTATAGAATTCGATTTTTTAATTAATTGTAATAGCATTTACAATATTTAATAATATTTTTTATTATTTAAGAACGAAAAGAGAAAGAGATAATTGCAAAAATTTATTTTTTTGTTTTAGTGGAAAAAATATGAAATCCATGATTGAAAAACAGAATAGAAATTTTTTGAGATAATTATTTGATATAATTTTACCTGCCGTACGCGAAACGTCTATCTTTTTCGTGATCACCAAATGTGTCCCAAAGTCGCAGGGAGACATTCACGTTATCGACTACTTCCCAGGATCGTTCTAAGACCTGATGGATTAAAATAAATCATATTTTTTTTATTTTTGTCATATTTTCACGATTATAATCATTTTTGATATCTATAAATAAATTAATGAATGAAAACTAGTAGATTTATAAATGAATTAACTAATAGAAGTCATATATAAACAAGAACTCTTATTAATAATAAAATATGATATTTGTTTAAATTAGACATAAAATCTATACAGAGACTTTCATGAAGATGAAAATACAATATAGAAATTCGAAATCTTCTAGAATAATAATTTTAGGGTAAATATTTATTTCCAGATTAAAAATTCTGAAACCTGAAACCCATTCTTCAATTGCAATTTATTACTTATTCATTATAGTAAATGCAATCTACATGCAATCATTCATTTTTCAATATTGAAGAAAAATATTCAAAGAACAATTGCAGATTAAAATTTTTCATTTATTTGTACAATTTGTACAATTTTTACAATTTCTTGTTCAAATAATTCTTACGACTTTCACTTTAAAATCTCGATGAAATTATTAATATAACTAATATGTTAATTACTTGAATTTCAAAATTAATTTTCTTTTTCGTGTGCATAGGTCAGGAGGGGCAAAATTGCAAAAGCAATTACTTATCGCAGTTAACCATGAATAAGTAAAACCGCGGATATCGAATCCCCAGATACTCTATTAAAATCATCGCAATTACCAAATTAAACTCCTACCGAATGATTTACAGACACCTACAACATATTAGCACAATTATCGAGAACCTCATGAACTTACGTCCTTGTATATCCTGTACTGGTCGATGGCCCAAACGGTGGGCACGTGAGTTGTCAAAAGTTGCGAAAGTGACACGTGTTTATTGCAGGCCCTTGCGCATATCAGCCTGGTCTTTCCAACTGCCGTGTCACCGACGACCACACACTTGACCAGTTCCTGATGCGGCTGCTCATTGTCCATCACCGACAATCACCCCTTCTCATCCAATACACCCACCCACGTGCCAGGTCGTTTGAACACGCGGTTACCTCCGTTGCTACCGTTCTGTCGATCGAATGGCGCAATGTCCACATCCGATCTTCACAGAATCAAAGATGATGCCGCGCGTCGATCCTCGCGGTCCCTTTCTCAAGCTACAATGCTGAAATTTATACATACACCGTGAATATCAATGGATTTGCACATGATGTTCTTAAAAAAATTCCTAAAAACTATCTAATAATTAGAAATTAGAAGAAAAAAATTATTTAGACACAAACAGGAAAATATAAATAGATTCCACATAAAAATCTTCGTTGTTTGATATAATTGTATAATTGTTGAATTGTATAACATACTTTGAGCCATGTATTTGATTATTTGTCTGAGATGATTTATGATTTTTTAATGTTTTATTTTTTTCTTTTTTTTTTTAAGATTAATTGGATTTTTGTAAAAGAAAGAGATTTTGGGCGTAAGATAATGCAAGACAAATGCAAATACAAATTTGAAAATAAGAAATTGTGAAATGAATCTTATGAGAAATTAAGATTTAAAAGAAAAATGTAAATTTAAGATAAATCAGAGATTTTCAATTTTTATAAATTAAACTATAATATAAAAACCAAAAGTCATTAATAAAAATCATTTCAAAGGATTAAAAGTTAACTGAAAAGTATATTACTTTAATGCAAAAGTAACTACCAACCATTAAAAATCTCAAGTAATATAAGATTTTATTTTTCGTTGCATCCTATGTATTTCAAAGACTTTAAAACAACGAAAAGATTCCAAAACAAAAATGAGATCAGATCTTGAATAGAAAAGTATTTCAATGAACTCTTGAACAAAAAAATATTTCAATGAACTCTTGAACAGAAAAGTATTTCAATGAACTCTTGAACGTGGGTCTACGTTCCAAATTGGCGTTTCAACGCAAAATTAGTAAGTCGCTGATAACGATGCAGACACGTGCAGACATGATGTTCGGTCACGTAGGCGTGAATAGATTATTTTAAGCTTACGTGCAATGTTCAGACGTCCAGGCACCGTGAATATATATGTATACGCAGAATGCCTATTGATTTGACCCCGCAAGCGCCTTCACTATATTTAGTATCGAACGTTCGTTACTTCAACCTCAACCTTAGCCTATCACCTTAACCCTGAACTGAACTATGGACACAAGGGATTTGTCCTGTTCATGGATGAAGTTTGAACCATCGACGGTGTATAGAATGACACTGTCATGGATGGTATCACAGTGCTTTTTAACCGAACTTCAAACCTTCGCTTGGTCCGGTTCGCACCAATTTTCACCGAAACTTACTGGCTTCTAATTTATACTAGGCACGAAACCCAAGATATTTTCAAGACAATTTGTGACGTTCGGTTCGGTTATACATAGATTAGGTCAATCCGAATGTGGAAACGGTAGAGATCTTGATTCGTCACGAAATACTTGAATAGATTAAACGTTGATTTCCTTTGCATTTAAGTAGATTGTATATTATCTCTTGTAATCACCTTGAATTAATAGTTTATTATTAATAATTCAAATAAACTATAAAATCAATTTTCAATGAAAAAAAATTATAACCTCAAATTTTTTTCAGAAAAAATGATAACAAGTTATTAATTCTTTCAGAAAATTTATTTACAGATACCTAAAAAAAATCAATCATTAATAACAGAAACATTTTCTTATAATTTTTTTATAAAAAAGATAGAAAAATATTAAATAAATATATTTATTTAATTATTTCTATTACTAAATTAAGTAATATTATAATGTATGTTGTATGTATGCAACATTGAGCATAAAAGGATTAAAAGATCTCTATCAAATTAAATAAATCTGTTTTTTATATTTGATCATTTTTTCTAAATGAACTTTTTTTATTTGCATAATGTAAGCACATATTTAACCAAAGAAAAAATTTAATAAGATCGAAACTTACATAAAAAATATATCAAAAAAATAAACAGATATATTATATTTACAATTCGATCAATTAACTGTCAAATATGAATAAGAGTATAGGACAGGTGAGACAGTCGCATGACAGGAGAAGCAACGTTATTCCGTCCCTGGCTATGCTATAAAACCTATATTTTATGCGGACACGTCGATAATCACTAGATGACATGTTTATAACGTATATGCAGAATAATCACCATATCATGATGTGAAAATCACATATATGAATGCGAATAAGAATTCTTTATTTTAAAAATTAGATTACTTTTAAATGTAAAATAAATACTAATTCCTCAATTATTGAAGATTTAGTATGAAGTCATCTTATTAATTACCTAATAAATATGTATCTAAATACGAATATTTAAATAAGTTTGACGTATAAATTTAATAATAAAAACTATTTAATATATATAGTAAATATAGTAATATATATAGTAATATATATAGTAAAAGAAAAGAAATTTTTTGTTAAAGATAAAAAGAATATAAATTATTAAAATAATTACTCAAAAAAAATAATTTTGCAAGTCAATTGTATACCTAACAATCAAGAAAATTTTCCAATAAATCATTAAAGAAAAAGAAAAAAAAGATCGAATTTTAAAGAACACGACAATCGATAATGGCAGTGCGGTCGAGAATCGTACGATTATTTATGCATCGACAATTAAATATCGTTTCTACTGTCGCAACTCATATTACAAGTTACAAGTTGTTGTCGATTTCTCGCAAGGTCTTATCGATCTGCAATAGCTCGATTACGTGACGTATGAAGATTGTAATGAATTACCGAACGATCGGAAATGATCAACGATTCGAAAGATGAAAAGAATACAATACATTTGAATTTATTGTGCAATTATTAATTTAGAAATAAGTGCAGACAATTTTTATTGCAAATAGTTGATTTTTAATCATATTATCATGATTATATTTTCCATTTTAATATTAATTTTTTAGATCTTAAAAAATTGAAAATTATTAGCTAAATTTTATAGGTTAAAGATTAATAAATTCTGTTATATAAAAAAAATTTAAGAATAAAACAAGGAATGATCTACAATGAATTTTTAAATTAATTTTTAAATTAAAAATCAATTGATTTTTTTAATTTTAATTATAGAATAATATTTATATGTAAAAAATTACATTTTAAAGAATTGATTGCCATTTTTATAATAATTCTTTGGATTTAGATTCATTATAAATTCTATAAAATTTAAAGATTGTTTTGTATTATTTATTTAATAAGGATAAATATTGTAACTTATAAGAGTATAAATGTTAT